ATGCTCGACGAGTGTCCGGTTGAGTCGTTCGGCGACACCATTCTGTTGGGGTGAGTCGTGCACTGTTAGCTGCCGCTCTATACCTTGCTGACGCAAGTATTGATCGAACTCGGCGCTCAGATACTCTCCTCCTCTGTCCGAACGGATTTTGCGCACGCGCACACCTGGTGATTGACGGGCCACCCATGCCTCATAGGACTTGAACGCGGTAAGTGCGTCACTCTTTTGTTTGAGGAACTCGAGTCGCGTCTGCCGGCTAAAGTCGTCCATGAAACTGACATAATATTTACAGCCTCCCAAACTTGTCGTCTGCGCCGGTCCCCAGAGGTCCGTATGGACTAGTTCTCCGTATGTAAGTGCGCGCATCTTCGTTTCTCTTGGGAAGGACTGCTGAGCTGACTTAGCTTTCACGCAGACTTCACAGAACTGGATGGCGGGCGCCGGATCTATGTCTATGCCCAGGATTAGGCCCTTCTTGACTGCGTCAAGAAGGGCCGCATGTGATACGTGCCCTAGGGCACGATGGACATCATTGATGGTAAGCTTTGTCCTGGCGACGTTGGCACGATGCTTACGGTCGGACGTTACAGCGTAAAGTCCCTGGACTTGGGGTATTTCTGCGATCGTCCTTCGTTCGGGGGGAGCAGACAGTATCCTGCACATTCCTCCTTCGAACAGCACAGCCAAACCGGCGGAGGCGATCTTATTGGTGGAGATAAGGGTAAATGCCATGGAGGGGGCATATAGGACGTCTTTTAGCGTCACGGTCGTTCGTTTCGAGCCCAATGGTAAGTCCATCCTCACGTCTCCTCGTCCTGTCGCATTGACAGTAGCTCCATTCGCAGTGTATATCTTCTGCGGGGCGATCTCGACGAAGGATACAAATTTTGCCCTATCCGGGCAGAAATGAGAGGTCGCGCCGGAGTCTACTATTGCTCCTCGGCGCTCTGGAGGTACGTCCATTGATTTTGCTATGACTGCGAGGTCTGACATAGCGAAAGCGTAGTTGTCCTTTGGCTCCGGCTCTTTGGCTACATTGGCACTTTGTTTTTGGGTGCGTCCTCCTTGTCTCTGCCGTTGATTCGGCCCCTGACCTTCTTTTCCTTCACCTTTTCGCCAACAGTCACTCTTCCAGTGGCCCTTACGATCGCAGTTCGTACAGACTGCGTCGGGGTTGGATTTTGGAGCCGAGCTCTGCGAGCTCATGCTCCTCCCTGCATTTGTTCTCGCGGAGAGCGCACTGTTGGTCCTGCGTTTGTTGGGACGTTGTTCGGTGAGTAACCGGTGCTCGTATTCCTCTGTGATGATGGTGATGAGTTCGTAGGGCGAGAGGGGAGTTTTCGTTATCTTGGCCGCTGCGTTCATCGACGACAGTAGCGGCCGGTAGGATTCAGGTAAGGACCCTAGGATGATGGCATGAAAGTCCGTATCAACGACGGCTACCCCCATTCCAGCTAACGACTCCCTCAGGCGCAAAAGCTCTGAAAAATGAGCCTTGACGTCACCACCTTCTTCGCACCTCGTCTCCTGGAGCCTCCGTCTCAGATCTATCTGGACGAGTTCGGTTTTGCCTTCATGTATGTGGCATATTTCCTTCCAGATTTCGGACGCGGATCCTAACTTTTGGACGCGTAACAGCAGCCGATCTGTGATCGTGCAAAATATTTGCTGTTTTACAAGTGAGTTCTTTTGTTGATACTCATCGGTCTTTGCCATCAGGAAAACATCGAGTTCCTTTTTGTCCCTTAACTTCCTTAAAAAATTGATCAAGGAGAATAAGGAGAATAAGGACTATTAAGGAGTGATTTCGTACTTAATTATACTTATTCTAAGGCACATGGTGGCTGCAAGTCAGCCTAAGGAGAATTAAGGAGAATTAAGGAGATTACTTGTGTGCCTGAACTTTCTTGAACACACCACTTTCTAGTATTTTGCTTATAACTCACTAGGATGTTAACCAAAAAACGTCATGAGACTATGGATAGACTACCCTTGACAAGGGTTACAACTTTGATTTTCTTCGAAAAAGTTCACATGGTCTACCATCGTCACTTATCAAAATCCTAATGGTAGACTTGTATTTTATTCTAAGTCCAATGGATATGGTATATATATCAATTGCTGCCTGCATATGTACAAGGTATTGTAGTCTACTGGTAAAGCTGCTTGACAGTCTGAGAATTGATCATGTGATCTCAGCTGGGTCAGCTGCATTGTTGAGAGTTCAAACCAGCTCTGTGGTAGAAAATAAAGTGCTCTTTTTGACATCACTTTGACTGCCTTAATTTCCTTATTCTAAGGAAGTTTCCTTAATTTAAGGAGAGGGACCTACTTATTCTCCTTATTTTAAGTGTGAAAAAACAGCCTTAATATTCCTTATTATGTGAATTAAGGCATATAAGGACAAATAAGGAGCAAATAAGGAACTCGACGTTTTCCTGATGGCGTCGAGCTCATCGATTTCTTTCTGCGTAGGTGTTGTACCATCCGGCTTCGTAACGGCCCCCGTAGAGCTCTTTACGAAAGGCGTAGGCTCTTTAGCTCGTCCATCGGTATATCTCGTAAGTCCTCGTGCACCTATAGCCGTTAACGTCCTTTCCTTGTAGGTTATCCAGTTCGAGCCGTCTTCGGCGAGCTTCGGGATGTTAAAAAGGTTTGAATTGGTGCTGGGAGTCGACGAGTCCATGGAGGAGTCAGGGCTCATAACCTGTGGAGGAACAATACACGCAGGAGGTTTTACGACACGCTAGAACAAAGGTATGAGTCTCAGTATTCGTTTCGAATCTCTATTAACAATTGTTTGTACCTAGAACAAAGGTACGACTAGATGTACGTCAGCGCTTGTGCTCGAACGTTACAGTGGGACTTGTACTTATGTCTCAGTATTCGTTTCGAATCTGAGACGTTTCGACGAAAACAGCGTCCTCTTATACGGTGAGTCTGCCAGCAATAGCTTTGATGAAAAATATATACTTAAAGAACAAAAAGATTGCCGACGTTGACACGTCGTCGACGTTCTCCGTTTGGAGATGCTCGCACTCGATGTGCTCTATTCTTCGGCCGTATCGTCCTTTCCTTTCTCGGCTCTCTCTCTCTCGGCCTTACTTACCTCGGACACATCGGCTCTCAACAGTTTTCTCTTGAATGCTAAGAGCGTTATGTATTTAGTAGCTCAGACCACTACTGCGAAACACAACTTACAGGGAGGGCTAAAAAACTCCTTCACCTTCTCAAGGAAGACAATTGCATGTACGATGTCTTGACTGGTTGGTGGATCTGAAGGAGGCAATGGTCGCTTGATGTGAGATAACGACTTTGAGAAGAGTGGTACTTGGATCGACATTGTTACTGAGAGGAGACTTGGTTAGGAGGTTATATACCAAGTGGTGCACCGCATAGGAGCTTTGAAATGGTCCTGCTTATCAAAGCGGACTGTGCATTTTGTACTGATTCATCTTGCGCATCATGGTAGTGAAAGAACAGAGCCGAGCGCACACCGAATCCCAACTAAATGTGCGCGTGAATGTAGCATCTATCATAAGCATTCTTCATTGTCCAATAGCAGTCGACAGTGATGACCAGGCCTAACGCATGTCCAATGGCACAATTTAATTCAAATTGTGTCGTTGGTTTAGTTAGCAGCTGATTACGACTCTTCTTTCTTAGCGATCCTGCAGCGGTCATTGGTGTTAGTTTTGTGCACGCTTCGTGCATATCATATAATGACTGACCGTAACCGTCCACGCTTCGTTCGGCATGTAGATTTCCCAGTCCTGGTGACTCACTAGTCAACGACGATTCCTCGAGCTGAGCACATGGGTTGCTATAAAATTATTTCATCGCGCATTCCATTACATCGCACGAGAATTCATATCTTTATTTCCCAACACCAGGATGCCCTTTCCTGGGTACTGCTGGTTGGTTTGGCCAACGCGAGAGCAATACCCTCCCCAGTATTCTGGTGTGTACTGCCATCGAGATGTTAAAACTCTGGCAGCGGTCAGCAGATATACAAAGATTGTTTCGTTCATAGTGGTTGTGAAATAATTTATGTACCAAACTTCATCGCAAGCCCATCAGTTCTAAAATTGAGCTGAAGACTAGAGAAAGGATATCAAGCCGAGCGGGTTTGTCTCTGCAACTGGAACAAAGCCACACACAATCAGTAGCAGTATAACTGTTGGGGCACACACGTACTCATCAATGTGTCTGGTCTTGATCGATGTCTTCTTCTGCGTTGTCTGCCAGGAAGGATCTAAACAAATGTGATGAGCTCCTCATGCGCCTACGTATACATACCTGTATCAGCTTATAAAAACTCAGATCAATCCTCAACGCCATCCGAACACTTCCATACCATCTGCATATCCGACGTCCCAACAAAAAGTGCTTACCTTCCATGTGCGTCTTCTCATTCATTAGCATCCTCGCGAACCCGGTTCCTGCATTCTCCTTTAAGCCTTCAGTCCCTCCACAGCCGTAGATTGAAAGACGTGCTTCGCCAAAGACGACAAGGAAAACTACCAGTGCAAACGCGTTGATACCAGAGGCATAAGTTAGCATAGGTACTAGGCAGATCCTCCACGCACTTTGATTTCAATGAATGCGTTCAGAGCACTGATCTCTGAGTAGTAGAGATGAACACTACAACATCGGGTCGCGTCCAAAGTCAAACGTGACTGTCTCATCGTCGATTGAGAGTGCTGCCACCTGTTCGTTCATCAGCTATAGTGTCCAAAACAGTATGATTTCGTTGCTGTCCATGTCGGGTTCGTTTATGTGCCTGAAAATTAAAATATTGATGTGTTGAGCAAGACTTTGGTTTGTTCAGTTTGCGTCATGTCACACATCGTGCAGGTCATGTGATCGCGTCATCTCGCGCGAGTCGATTCTCGAAATAATCATGACGATGATCCCATTATTTATTACCAGGCGATGCTACGAGTATGCATTGCATGAATACAACTAGAAAATACAAATACAAGTACCATAACCAAAAACTACAAGTGCGGCACCAAAGCGGTCCATGACACCACCTGGTATACGCCAGGAGGAAGATTGCGTAAAGTGGTGAACATGAGTACCAAGAGAATGCCACGTCCTGTGATGTACACTATGGGAGATATAAAGATCACAGGGCCAATGAAAATTTCGGCTACATGGAGCCGCTTGAATATGTCGAAATCGTCTAAAATGTTTCCAACATATATACTACAAAGCTCAACACAGGGTGTGCAACTTATAGCGACGGCACTTGTGCGCCAGAGGACCTGTTCGTGGTATGTGGCGAAGGCAAAAAACCAAGCCATACAATGGACGCTGCTGAATATGGTTGCCATGAGAAATCCAGCAGCCACAAGAACTGCCACGTCCGACTTCTCGAGTTCGATACTGCCATCAAATGTTTGAACTCGGAGCTTTCGAAATGTGGAAGTTTGACGGCCCCCGCCCAGTGACAGTTCTAGGATTGGGAAGAGGATTGGGTCCCACATCCTTTTAAGCCCAGTTAATTCTTCTTCTTCAACAACAACACTAAGGCAGACATGATCAACAGCGGTATAATTGTTCAAACTTCAGGTGCATACATACCCAATATAATCCTCTGGCCTTGACTCGGTCGACTTCCAGTACACTGGATGTGGACATTGCACGTCGAGAGGCTTGTCCCACCATACAGCATAAGTGAGGAAATTGAGAACCGCAAAAGCGAGTGTCCCCACTTCGAGCTGGGTGATTTCGAGGTGATAGATGACGCGGGTGATGAGCTGCATGATAAACCAGGCCACTTGAAGGATGATCAACCCTTTCGATATCGCATTGCCTTTGCTCTTGTCGTGGATTTGCTTTGCCGTTAGGGTAGGGACGTCGATAAACCCCTTATCTATCAGTTTGAGAATGTCATCATACTGTAGTGTACGATAGGGTTTCCCGTCCACATAAAGCATGAAACCACCCATGAGTACAAAGAAGCTGTGCGTCTGAGTCCATGTATAATCTAAGGCACGTGAGTCAATGTTGTGGTGAGTATGAATCGGGCCTACCCTCAGATTGCTCTGAAACATAAGCTTTGAACAACTTTTTAAACAGCTTCGCAAGAGCACGAGACCTCCCATATCTTGGGGTGGGCGCTGGAGTACTATAGTATGAACTTCTGAAGGAATAGTGCGGCTACCAGTACAGATGACGAATCACCTTCAGGATCTGCCACAAGAAGCCGGGTGCTATCACGATCTTTGAGTCATGAGGAAACATATTCGGGGTGCGGCAAGATAGAATGTCGAGCTCACCTTCGACATATTGCTCCGTAGTTGCTTCGATGGACCTGTAATCTAAGGTCGTGCATAGTGAGTTGCCTGAAGAACATATAGTTTTGGAAAGCACGGCTCACCTCTAGGCTGCTCCTGCAGCTGAAGAACACCAAAATATCCCGATTCCTTAAACTTTTTGGTAACATGACGAGCACTGATCCACTGGCGCATAGCCCATATGACGATGAGTTCAGGAACGATTAGTGTCATTATCATGATACCAAGTCGTCGCCATAGAATAAGAATGGGGCTGTCCTTCGGACTTGGGATATTGGGGTGAATGGCACTGTAAATGCATGCGAATAGAGTGAGAACGCAGCTCGAGACGATGTTCCACAGGGTTCTGTTTGTGAATGATGGGGCTTCGGTAATGTTACTACGAGTGCTACTAGTAGTAGTAGTATTTGTAGTAGGTGCAGCTTGGATGACTCCAACGAGGTAAAGGAAGATGCAGAAAAGTACTAGTAAGCGCATTATTGGATGTTGCTTTGGGGGCATCATATGCACCTACTCGTTATTTATATTTAAGTAGCGGGCGTCATCTCAAGGCAGTGGGATAACACAATGAGGCACTGGGGCTTGCCCTTTGCAACATGGCGGATTGAAGTAATGATCGATCGACCAGCGCTTAGCTCCCGCTCGAGTCTAATTATAGTTCAAGCTTAAGGTTCTAACATCGATTCTGATGGATTCTTTATCTAGCTAGGGCCACCAACCTTGCATTCGTCCCCGTGGCACTCGCTCGGGGTAATGAACCGCACCGTAGTATTAGTATATCCACTCATTGGCACCCTCAAGTCTATCGCCACAACATTGAAGGCTTGCTGGGGCTTCAGGCCCAGTGAGAACCGGACCTCACCGTATCGACGGAAAACGGCCGAAATATTGATGAGCCACAGACGTAAGATTTCTGTAGATGAGCGTAGAGAATGGGACTTATAGTCGATTTTCTAGTGATGCTGTTCGACGGAGATCTCACGATTTCGCACTGATTCTCGCATATGATATTTCCGTCGACTATCGTAGATTCTTAAATGTAGTCGTATTGCACAATGAAACTACGGAAATCGCATGAAAACGACGCTAATATACATTGCGAGAACAAACGAATGACACCGCAAAAATGAAATATACATAACTATACTACCTGCTGCAGTCTGTCCACCTGGTCCTCGCCAGCAACCCACCTGATGTCAACCGCTGCACCCATGGTGGATGCCAACTAGTATAGGCTGCCGGAAGAGATCTTGTTGATGATGTCGACTGTATTGCCGTTCCATATATTGTCCTTGACCTGAGAAAAAAAATGTAAACAGCTGTATCAGGATGAGTGCACATTTAGTTGAGTTCATTACCAGCTTCAGCGTGTCGGCAGGATCATAAGCCTGCAAGACATAAATCAATCATGTGAAACATGTAGCATAGGAGTACGTACCAGCTGCTTCTCTTTCATCAGGCCAGACCAGTAAATCCTGAAATTGGCTGACGAGCCATTTGCGACAATCTGCTTCAACCATCGGTGTGCGCAGAGTGACCTAAGCCCAAAATTCCAGGTCAAAGGTTGATACAGTGTTCGAGCCCCTTCAGTAACATTTCCCGACTTAGTCGGACAGCCAAAGGTTGAGAATCGACCCAGTGAGGCGGGCCATCCAATGTGAGCCCAAGCATAGCTGATCACGGATGGGCCCACAGCTTGGAATAGTACCCATGCTGGCGGGTCGGCCAAGTGTGAGATCAATAGGATAAGCGGGCCGATCGTATTGGGATACAGGTACTGAGAGTGACGGATGGGCCCTGTATATATGTCTCGGAAGGAAGAACGGATAGGCCCAGCTGGATATTCTATATCCATGTCATCTCGGAAGGGCTCTGCTAGTGATTTTGGGCCCAAGCGCTGACCAGTAGGTTTTGTGTTGACCCAGCATATGATATCGGAAGAGCCAGCCAATCGGTTTCGGCCCAAGAGAATATGTCGGAAGGAATGGCCGTTGGCCCAGCTGATACAGGAAGGGCCGACTGGTGATTTTTCGGCCCAGGAGAATGCGTACATGATCTCAGATGGGCCAACTGATGGGCTCGAGAAAACATGCAGTTGATGTCGGAAGGGCCGACTAGGTATGTTTTCGGCCCAGGAGAATTCTCGG